TTTTTATTTTATTTTTATATAAATGACGAAAACTATTGAGATAACAAACTACAACGGTCATGAGTTCAAGAATTTGTTCTTCGTTCCTCGTGAAAATACATTCTATCAGATACGAGGGAGAAAGGGTAAAGTTAGTTTGAGCGTTTATGAAGGAATGAAGAATGGAAAGTTTATACAAGCATACGATACAAACGGTAAGCGTGTTTCATTAGCTTTGTCAAAACTTACTAACATTTATTTTGACAGTGACTTTGACTCTGACGATTGGAGCGACAGCAGCGATACTGAAGAATATGAACTATTGTGTGAAGCACAGCAATGGGAAGAGTTGCAATACTTTTGTAAGTGAGAACGTTTATTTTTTACAGTAGTGAAGTGAAGTGGTTGGCGGTTTTGTAAATATTTAAGGTTAAGTTAGTGTTGTCGTTTGTGTTGTAAAATATACGTTAACGGTTTTGTAAAGTGTCAAATTCACATATCATGGGTAAGGAGGCTCGCAGTGCCTCCGTACACAAGATATGTATACTAACTGCATCTGAACCTTGATTTGTATCGGCTTGCTCAAAATTAGTTTGAATTGGAGTGGATGAATTAAAATCTGGATGATTTAATGTTTCATTAAATAATGCCATAATTTTTTCTCTTTTTTCATTAATAAACTTAGTGATCATTGTATCTTTATCTGTTAGATCGATCGATTTGAGTATATCTGCATCATGAACTGGAATATTTTCGAACAATGAACTCGATTCTATGGAACCATATGGAGAAATCTCGTTCTGAGCCAAAGAAAGATCACTTACGTTGTATTGTTTGATAGAAAAAATTGTTTTCTCAAGTTCGTTTTGAAAGCAGTCAAGAATATAATTTTTGTAGCTATCAGTGATAACGGTTTTTATATGGCGCTCGATCTTCTGGCTATTTTTGATGGCGTTATATTTATCTAATTGGATTTGAGATATCTTCTTAATAGCTTCATAAATGTTTGGATGTTTTAACGAAGAAAATTCTGAATGCATACTCTCGAGGCAATCATTAGTGAATATTGCAGTTGCATTATTATATTGAGATATTAAATTGTAGTGCGGCAACCAAACTTTGTTGAAATAATCAATATAATCTTTGATCGAATCAACTTTATTTTGATTAATTATATGCATTGTAAGTACAAATTCTTCATGAGACATGAATGGAGTAATAGAATATAGCTTAAATAAAGAATTTTGTAAAGTATTGAAATTTTTTGTATAAAGTGCTACAAGTTTCCTGTGTAAAGCTTGTTTGAAATGAAATAGGCATCCAATTATACGGACTTTAGGGAAAATTTGTTGAAGTGCCTCTATCATTCCCTTTTCAAAATCACAATGAATTTGAATTAGCTTTGAAAATTGAATACCCTTGACAGTAAAAATATATTCAAATGCCTTCTTATAAGATTCAAATGTGCGGTTTTTCATGAATATAAATAAAAGTGGTAGATATTGATTTGTTGAAGGTTCACAAATCATAATTGTTAGCATCTGTCCTTTTTGAAAATGTTTTGGTGTAATTTTAAAAGTTCCATCGCAAAAAATAAATCTGTGGCTTCTTTTGCAAATTGAATTGCCTTCTCAAAACCAAAAAACATCGTCTCACAATTTGCTTGAAAATCATGGCCAATGAAAAACTGCTCGCCATTTATTAAACAAAAATTAGCAATTTCATTGTCTGTAATTTTTTCTCCAACAGAAAATTTTCTGGACTTATTATAAACTTCCCTGACCAATGAATCTTTAATTAATGGGTTTTCATCAGTACCAACAGCAAGTTCTGTCATAAATTTTTTTAATCTGCTGAAAAGTGCCGTTGTCTTCAGAAAATTTTGCCATTGCCTTATTGTATATTTCTGTCAGAGTCATTGATTTATGAAGATCATTTTTTTCATTTTGTAACTTTTTAAATTGTCTGCATTCGGGTATATGTTCCTTTTGTAAATCTTCGGAAACTGAACTGTTCTCAATTTTAACTAAATAACGTGCTTGACAAGAATGATCGATGCAACGGTAGTAACGTTCAATATTATTTGAATTAATAATATTTGTATGATCATGCGAATAAAGCATATCTTTGCGAACAATTGTATCAGGATATTTTCCAGTAACTGCGGGAATATTTTTAACTGCAATATAACTAAAATATCTTCTGACAGCTTTAGATTCATTTTCGGCGTATTTAATATTAAAATATTGAAGAACTTGTTTGATTATATTCGTTTTTTCATCTCTCGATGTTGATTTTTGGTATTTATCAGATTGTTCCCTGATAAATATTTTATTTTCGTCTGTAAACTTTGCTCTTTTTTGATTAAATATAGATGATTTTCCCATTAAAAAATGAAATGATGCAAAATTTACGAAAACCGTTCGAAAATTGAATCAAAAATGAAAAGTAATACTTAAATGAGTAATTCTTTGAGATATTGGTCTTAGATTGAATGTAGCGTCATTCTTATATAGAATATATATTCATATCATCGGAAATATGATAAAAAGCATATAATAAATGTCAAAAAAGTGAACAAATAAGCAAAGATATTTTTAAAAAAACAATGAAAAGTAATACTTAAATGAGGAATTCTTTGAGATATTGGTCTTAGATTGAATGTAGCGTCATTCTTATATAGAATATATATTCATATCATCGGAAATATGATAAAAAGCATATAATAAATGTCAAAAAAGTGAACAAATAAGCAAAGATATTTTTTAAAATAATTTCTGTTTTTTCATTTCTTCGAAATCTCTTGTGACTTTTTTGATAACTTTAACACTTCTCTCTGAATCCAGACCTTTAATTTGCAACTTAATCAGGAATGAAGGAACAACACTGGAATATAACTCGATGACAAGTTCATCGAGTCGAAGATTTCGCCTTTCTGGGAAGTACTGGTGCTTCAAAACCTTGAAATGTGATTCCGAGATGTTGTTTGTTCCATCTCCTTCATTTCTATAGCGAAGCATCCACCTGTCAAGATGATGGCGCCACTGTCGGTCAAAGTATTCACGGGCAGCAGGTTCCTCATTTAAAATTTCTTCTAAATTGTTGTAAACTTCATCAGGATCAATTTCTTCCTCTTCAGAACCAAAGACCAATAACTTCATTAAGTTATAGAAAGTTTCGAAGTTGGAACGATCTTGAAAGTTTTCAGCCTTTCTCATGACAGCGCGCAACACATGAACGCCACACCAAATGATCTGGCATAAGAGGATGGCTGTTTCAACAGCATTTGTGATTTGAGGTGCGCAGTCCATTGAAAAATAAGATGGTTCGCGATTGATGGAGCCAAAATATGCTGTGAGACAAACTTGTATATTTTCACTTGTGTTGGGCCAAACGAAAAAATACAAAAACGGAAAACAATTGATTCCGCGAATTTGCCAGTGACGGCATAAAATGGTATGCGAGAGCGCAAGAGCTTATAAGTGGAATCAATGTGATAAGTTTGTATTTGATGTGAAAAAGCATTTGCTTCGAATGGGGCGTAATAGAAAATCATACGATCTGGCTCGTGAATAAACTCGATGAGATCATCCGGAGAATGACTCTTAACCATGTCGACAAAAATTGCAAGAGATGTAACATCATCCGCTGAGAAACGGGTATTGATTGCATGAAGGCGTTTAGAAAACTTTTTTAAAGCATCTGTAGATTGTTGAAACATTTCCGGAATGATCCCACTATCAAATGGGATATTAAGATCTTTGAAACACCTTAATTGTGCGTAAACACGGTCTTGATTTGATTCAAAATATCTTGTTAAATAAGATCTATAAAAATATGATGTAATTTGTTGTGATTTGTTTGGAAAAGGGGCAGAATGATTGTGGGTGTTAATACATTTTCGTATGTGGTACTTGTCATCGGGAAGTGTATCAACAAGGAAGCGACATGGACAATTCGGCCACTTACAATTAAATTGGATTTGGTTTCTTTCTCTCCTAGTTTTATATGAATAACTACAACCTGCTTGGATTTCTTGTTGCACTCCATACTTAAGCAACTCGATATATGTGAGTTCGTGATCTTGGATCTGCATTAAAATGAAATGATTTGAAAGAATAAAGAATTTTGAATATATTGGTCTTATTTTGATAAGCTTGGTCGTGTTTTGAATAGCTTGGCCATCTAATTCAATTATGATCTTTGAAAATTAGGTGAAATAAAACTAAACATAAATGTAAAACTAGGGATATGAAATTTTGGTTGTACACCACTTGTATGTGCCGGATACCATTGTGTCAAATTTTTTCTGAAATTAACTTTAAAAATACTAAGTAAGATCATTTATTTTTGCATAATATAATGCTAATATGGTTTCTTTTGATTTTATTTCATTTATAAGCAAATCAGATTTACCCAAAAACTCCACTCCATAAGCGTTCATTTGCTAAATTAAAAAGTGACAATGGGCTAGTCTGTCCCTTTCTCCCCTTAGGACGCCCATAAACCTCTCAAAAATGTGATGTAAATATCACAATTTTGAGAAATTTACACTAGGACGCCTTAGGACGCCAACCCCCTTTTTTTACCAGAAGCTGAATTGGAGCTTTTTGGTCGAACAAAAACCTCACACATAGGCATTATGTAGTAAATATGCATTAAACTTATAATGGACAAATGAGACCTCAAAACATAAATTGATAAGAATAAATTTTATACAATAAAATTTAGTATAACCATTATGTCAAACTAGATTTTAGTAAAAGTGAAATGAGAAATTAAAAGGGACATTCCCTTCAAATGTGAATTGATAATTGAGAGTATTGAATTTTTTATTTATATAGTTTTATTATACGCATACTACCAATATTCTTCGATTGATTATTTTAGTTTTTCAATGGTGGAGAAAAATCAGTGAAATATTTGGATAAATTTACTCTACCAACACTAATAATGAATCTTATTCTTCGTTATTTTCAATTTTATTCAAACATTCAAAAATCAAATCATTTATCTTAGATATGTCTGACTGCTCTGATCCAGCAATCCGCGAAGCATACGAGGAGGTTCGCAAGGATGATATCGACACAAATTGGCTCCTTATCACATACGCTGAGGGCTCAGATAAGGTTTGGACACTTGTTGGCAAGGGCAACGGAGGCCTTGATGAACTTAAGGAGCACCTCAACGAGAACTTCCGTGGTTTCGGCTATCTCCGTTGCACAACTGGCGATGAGCTCTCTGTTCGCTCCAAGTTCGTTTTCATTACATTCTGCGGTGACAAGGTTCGCCTCATCCATCGTACCAAGCTTACAGTTCACAAGGCAGATGTCATTCGTGTCATTGAACAGATTTCAATCTCTGTTGATGTTTCACATGTTAACGATCTTACAATGGAGGACATCAATGCTCGCCTCAACAAAGCTGGTGGCGCCCACTACACAAACTAAACTATTATTTCGGCTTTACTATGGAATTAACATCTTTTTAATATTTTTTTTGGGCAGATTTTCGATAAAATCTGTTGTACATAAAGTATAAATCGATGGAATCATTTCGATCTATCTTAATTCCCTATTGATTACATCTTAATATGTCCGACGAAATCATTTCATCAATGAGCACACATTTGAATTATATTGATGCATCCGACACATTGTACACCTTAATGACAAACAAGGAAGAAGAAATTAATGATGTTTACTATCGAATCGTATTAAATTCAAAAGGTACCTGTAAAATTTATCCATATCATTTACACATTTATACATGACATAAGCAAGTACATAAAATCTTACTTATCTTTAGTCAATAAAAGATTTTTGGATTTCAATTATCTTGCATACCAAAATTAATCTAAACCAAAGAGTAAAGCAGCAAACAAATGATATTAATAGCTGCTTAATCTATCCATCCATTTTTTGACGTGTGAGCAGATACAAATGTCAGAGATTTTATTGGAATAACCGAAATCGATTATACAATCGTTCAAAATGCAGGGATATCAAGTAATGAACTAGATTCGATAGAAATGTTGATTTCTCATGTTCAGAAACAAAAAAACACAGCATTGTTTACTGCATCAATCAACAGCATAATTGATGTACTTAATTTTCTTATATCTCATGGAGTAGATGCTAAAGCAAGAGATGAAGTAGGAAAAATTCCATTATATTCATTGGTACAATCTAATTTTTCTGAATATTTAGCAGATGAAATTCCTATACAGTTGTAATACAGAAGATAATAGAGGCAATACGGCACATCAGATTGCAATACCTATATAAACAGCGGAGATCCTTCCAGTTGTCAACAGCGATAATTATAGCCGATAGATAAATGATGATAAAAATATTTATCATTATTATTTCAGAAATTTTCTCATTTCAAAAAAATCAAATAAACAAACATTTTATAATTTTGATGGAGAATAAGATCGAGAAGTAGATCTCGACATTGGCCTTGAAGGCAGTCTCGATTGAGGCTGTGACAAGAAAATTGCCGATCTTCTTTTATAAAGCTGAGACTCGTTTTCTAAAGTGCTAAAATCATCGTCATTCATCGGATCCAAATTCAATCGCGCGTGTCGAGTGTTTCTAAAAACAGCCAGTGATGTTGCAGTTCTTGGTGTCTGCAAAGCAGTCTGAACGTGGCTCCTATCATTAGATATCATCGCTAGTTGTATTCTGGATACGTGTGGAGGCCTGTCTGAGACCTGATATTCTTTCAAATCTTTAATTCTTTGTGATTCCAGTTTTTCTAAGGTTTTCTGTTGGTGCTCTTCAAGAGAGTCCCTTTCTTTATCATGGCGCTCTTTTATTTTGAAGTATTCCCGTCGCATTTGGGTTTGCATATTTCCACGCATTTCATTTTCCTCTTCTATCTGCCTTTTGTTAGCAAGTTCACGAAGCTTGGCTGCTTCATCGTAGTTTCGCATTAGAGCAAGCTTAGTTTCTTGATATCGTAAATTTAATAAGACATTTGATGGTTTATTGAATGATTCAATGAACTCCGGAGTCTGCCATTTCTTTCTAAACTGTAATATTTCATCATTTTGCCGATTTTCCATATTAATAAGATATTTTTGGTTTTCGTTCTTTTGTTGTTCGATTTTCTGCTGCCATTTTTCATTAACTTCGTTCCACTTCTGTTGGTATTCTTGTCGTTTCTCATTTAAGGTAGATTGCGATAATTCATTGACTTGATCTGCAATTTCTTGTTTATAAAGATCATTCATTTCCTTAATTATATAATCAAGCTTTTTGGCTTCATTGTATTGACCTAAAAGCAAAGATCTGACTCGTAATCTATTTATAAGCTGAAAAACATATTCTTTCATGTCAGGTTCTGGTAATTTTCCTGTTTCTAAATATTCTTCAAGAGACTGTTGAATTTCAGCATCAGGAGGACGTTCTTTTGGTTGATTTGAAGTATTTTTAGAAAATGATTTTGAAGGACTTCGACTACGACTAGTAGAGCCTCTGTTAGGAGGGTTTGTCATTGAATTTTCTTGCGAAGTCTCGTAATACATGAATATTCTGTTATTTTTTAAAAAATGTCTGTTTTGAAATTTTTTGAAACAAAAACGGGTTTTGAAATAACTCAAGCTACTGATTCTTTAAATATATTGCTAATTTGGAGTATAGACGGTTATCCGGTTGAAAGTCGTTTGAACTTTTCATTTCAGAAATTATCCTTTTTATCAAATCAAAGAATAGCTTATAGACATATAATAGCTTTATAAGATACTACAATCAAATCCCAATCTGGGCTAAACAGGGTAGAATAACTAATATTAATAAAAGATATGCCTTAATTAGAATATAATCATGCATTTCTAATCATGTAATTACCATCACATATCACATGAATTATACCAACTCACAAACTGCATTCAATTAACTAAGGTAGTCACAAAATCTAAGTAGTGAGGCTCTCAAAAATTGAACCGTACTCCATACAAAATTTGTGTACCCTCACTACTTAGATTTTGTGGCCTTCAATTGAGAGGTTAGTTTTGATAGAGCACGTTATAAAATTAAAAGGGAAAAATAAATAAAATTTAAACATTTAATTATATATAATGTAAGAAGTGTAATTCCAAATTTTCTAAAAACTATTCAAATTTGAGCATTTTTTTGGAAATAGTAAATCTAATATGTACATCTAATAACAGCATGATTCTCACCTTTTCAAGCTCTGCAGTCAATTTTTTGAAATTTGATTGAAATAAATGTAGCAAAAATTACATTTCATTAGGGAATATATGAGTTTCTCTGGAAACAGGCTGATAAATTTTAAATTTTGTCCAATCAACATGAATGCATTGAGAAATTTGGATTGATTTTCTGGTAGAATCTGGAACAATTCAACCATGTATAAATGGATCATGTAATCATCATGAAATGTTAGTGTTAGAGTTCAAAAGAAACAGAATGAGTGGAAATCAAACACAATCTGAATACTTTTAAACGTATACAATCTTTAAGTTTGTATTTTGAATTCTACATATATGATTGTGTAATTCGTTCTTTCAAATTTTCGGATTCAGGCATGTTTTGATAAAATTCATTCCCAAAAACGTCAATTAACAATTAAATTTAGTGTATTTTAAATATATATACGTATTATATTTTATAAATTATATTAAATTCGCAAAATTTTAAGTTTTAAACAAAAATAAAAAATGTTCAAAATATGAAATTATGCATAGGATATTAAAATTTACATGTTAGCAATTTTTTTGAATTGCTTTCAATTTTCATATTGAAATTTTTAAGATTTTTTTCTGAAATAATAAGCAAGAATATCAACCTAAATAATATTAAATTCCATGCGTTAATTTCCCCTCAAAAGTCATTGACCGCCTCTCAATCTAGATTTTGTGAGTACTTTATCTTTATGTGAAATTTCTTCGCAACCAGATTTTTTGAGCAAATTCAACTGAGTGAACGAATTGGTATAAAACCGACTCGATTTTTCCCAGTACTATTCAGTTTGGTAATAGCATATATAGTAAGACGCATATTTCCATCTTATGAGCTCGAAAAATCAGTTTATACTCGTCATTATAATTATTTTTACTCAAAAAATGCACCAATTAAGTTTTTCATGTACGATATCGAAGCAAATAACACTGCAAAACTATGCAAGAACCTATTCTGCGACTATCCTGTTAAGAAATCTCAAGCACATACTTTCTACTTTGAACCAGTACTTCATAGACACTTTATGAAAGGATATAACAGAGTGTCATATGAATCAGATGCAGATTTATTCTATGTACCTATATATTTAGGCTTATTTAACATGCAAAGAGAAAAATGCGACTTTGATCGCTGCGTATTACCCCTTGTTAGAAGTCAAGGAGACTACTACGATCGTTTTGGTTCAGTTGACCATGTTTTTGTTCAGATGTTGTTTTCACACAACAATGTTCCATTTACACAGCATCATCAGAAAGTGATTGTTGCACAAACAACAATAGGAGACATCAACTGGAACTTGAGCATTTTCGAACCGCGCCAAATGACAAGATTTACAGTAATGCCTTACAATTCAAACTTCGATTTCTATGAAAGTTCATCAAAACAATGCATTACTGCCTTTCTAACCGGCCAGATGACAATTGCTTCATTTGATAAGCGTGCACGCAATATCAGACAAGCTTTGAAAGAAGAAATGCGAAATACAAAGAACACTGCTGTGATTGAAACAAAGCGAAAGAGTCATTTCATAGCAGCAGAATATTTTCAGATCGAATCTCTTATGCGAAACAGCGAATTTTGTCCTGTTCCTCATGGAGACGGTCCACAATCAAAACGCCTTTACGATTCGATGCGAACAGGCTGCATCCCTATAGTCTTATCTGATGAAATACGATTTCCTTTCGAAAGTACTTTCGTTGACTATAAAAACGTTTTGATTCATATTCCTCAATACGAACCACAAAGAATAAGAGACGCTTTCGCTGTTGCTAATAAGAAACTAAGAGATAGAATGAGACGAAGACACAAAGAACTTGATAGATTACTAACTGTTGACGAAAACTTAGATACTGTTCAAGGAGGCATTATATGGGCATGGAAGTGGATGCAATTTTTCAAGGCAGCTACAATTGCATCTTCGAAACGATGCGATCTTCTACACTCAAAATATTTATAATTTTTTTTTCACCTTATCCTTGTTTTTAATTTTTTTTTTCTGTTTGAATAAAGTATATTAAATATCTTCCACTTGGCCTAACGTAAATTCTCCCTATTGAAATATAGCAAGAATTTAAAAGCACAAAAGGTGACGTTTATAAAATTTCATAAAAACAATGACGAATCATATTTTTACGCCACCATCAATAGGAGATTATCATTTCAAAGGAGAAATCGGATACGGTGCGTTTAGTATTGTTAAACTAGTTCAACACTCTCAGTCTAACAATTTTTTTGCGTGCAAAGTTATTTCGAAAGAGAAACTGTCATCAATAAAGCGAATAGAAAGATTCGAAGATGAAATCAGAATTCAACAACAACTACACCATCCAAACGTAGTTCAAATATATGATTTATTGAAAGATGAGAAAAACTTTTATATTATGATGGAGTTCTGTCAAGGCGGAGAACTGTTTCAATACATTGTAGATAAAGGAAAGTTAACCGAAGATGAAGCGAAACAGATTTTAGATCAAATTCTCGAAGGAATAAAATACATTCATAAAATGGGCGTCGTTCATCGCGATATCAAACCAGAAAATATTCTTATTGACCAAAACGGTAACGTGAAGCTGAGTGATTTTGGATTATCGAAATATGTCAGTTTAAAATCGAACCTTGTGAAAACGCCATGCGGATCTCCTTGCTACGCATCACCTGAATGCTTGTCAGGATTACCATACAATGGATATATTTCGGATATGTGGAGTGTTGGCGTTTTATTATATGCATGCGTATGTGGACAGTTACCATGGACAAAACGAAGTCAGGCAGAACTGTTCGCACAGGTAAAATCAGGATCGTATGAAATTCCATCTTCTCTTTCATTGGAATGTCAAGATTTGATAATGAGATTAATGGATACAGATACTAATACTCGTATAACTCCAGAAGAGGCATTGAAACACGAATGGTTTGATTCTCTGCTTCCTCAAACAAGAATTCAACCGAAAGTTAATGTGCCAGATCTAAGTCTGAAAAAGATCGATAATTTCTTTACAAAATACGAATATAGTCAATTCAAAATCGATATTTCGCTATTAAACAGCCTTCCAAACCTTACATTTCAAAAAGTTGTTAAGAATATAATACCAAATCCGAATTTTGCGTCACCAGTTAAAGTTCCAGAATCTGTAAATCGTATGAAATTACCAACATTGTCGCCAAAACCTCGACCAAGAAAAGATTCTGGCGCAAATTTAAAGCCTCTTAAGGCTTTACCAAGAAATCCAAACTCACGTAAATTATCAAATCCAGTGAATCGTCCTGTTCGAAGATCTTGTGTCTTGCCGAACATTTGATTTTTTCAATAAATAATATGTTTGTTTTTAATATGAAATACCTAATATTTAAGCCATAAGACAATAATGTACTTCCTCACTTCTTCCAGTATAGGGACAATGCAATGTCGTCATTAGTAAATCTCGAATGAAACAGCTTATTTTTCATTTTTTAATAAGAACATATCATATATTAGGCATAGCTTTAATATCAAACTATTGCGTTTACGATAAAAAACTTTTTATCTATTTTATCTTATAATGCTTATAATAAGATAATAAACATTATTTCCAATAAATTTCACACATAAAATTAATTTGTGTAAACAAATAAAAATTTTTAGCGAATTTTTTCAAATGAATAAAAAAATTAATACCAAAAAACCCCATTCGAAATATTCTCCAATTTTACTTTAATCATTCAATGGAGGATGAACTCCACAAAGAATTCAATTTGTGTATTTTGTATAGGCGTTTTCAATTTTTTGTGCCATTTTGTATTGTAATGACCCATATACAGATCGTTAACTGCATTAACCTTCCAAGAGCTGATTTAGATGGAAATAGTGATCCATACGTCAAGATTCTTGGCCGTAAAAAGGGCTCAGACAAATTCAAAGACATCGGGAAAACTGATACAATTAAAAACACTTTAAATCCTAAATTCAAAGATAAACCATTCCCAATCGAGCCAGATACAGAAGAGATCAAACTATCAGTCTATGATTACGATTTTATGGGTAAAAACGACGAATTAGGTGAAGTCGCATTCAAAATCGCTGAAATTAGTGGCAACAAGCCTATAACACTTACACTTTCTAGAGTACAACTTTCTATACTCCAGAATTGCTTCCCAGCTATTACTTTCGTTGTTTCGAAACCAGAAGAACAAGTCATGGCACCACCACCAGCCGTTAAACCACCACCTCCACAGAAACAAGATATTAAGTTTGTTATTGCCGAAAGCGCCAAAAATAACTTAATTCTTGGCATCGCAATTATTGATGAAACAGAAAAGAAATATTATATCTCTGATGAGACAACTGGTGCACCTGCAAACTATAAAAAGTGCAAAGCTGAAAATGAATACAAAATTAGACTGGCAAAATTAGCACAACCACTTAAAATCATTCCATTTATTAGAACAACACGAAATTTTAAACCAGGACAGATCAAAGTCCAAGCTAAACTTAAAAATCAAGTCATTGGCGAGTTCAAAATGAACCTACAATACAGAGGCGAATGGACATTTGAATCTGCACTTGAAGTTCCATCAAAGAAGGTTATTTCTATCAAACAGTTCAACCGTAATAACTATACTAATGAAGAGTGGATCAGTATGATCCCAGGAATACAAAAAGCTGAATATCACAAATATTTAAAAAATTCTTTATATATATTATTTTTAGCAAATAGAAATAGTTTTTTATAGAAACAATGAATTATAAGACTTTGAGAAGCGTTCTGAACTTGATGAAAAAGAAAATAATGACAACTGAAACAACTACTGTAATTAATGTAACAATTACAAGGGCAACAATCAAACCAATCTTAACCTTATCCTTCTTTTGTGGTGTATCCGATCCTTGATCGCTGTCATCGCCTGATTGAGATGAAGTTGGATTTACAGGACTTGTTCCTGATGTGGGTTGTGGTCCTGGTCCTGGTGCTGGAACATCACCTGTTGTTATTGGTCCAGGTGTATTCGAAGGTGTGAATGTAAAACTGTAGGAATCAATTCCGGAAACTTCAGAACCAGCTGTTTTAACAGTTACTGATCCAAGATGTGTATCGGTTGGAGCAACAACTATAAATGGATTGGATGAAGTATTGCTAAAGGTTCCTGAGTTCTCAATTGAACCAATTGCACTGTAAATTTTTGGAGAAAATATGTCAGTGTAGCCATGAATGTTGGCTGTTATACTGACTTGCATGTTAGATGATGAAGATATCCAAAGACATTTAATTGCATTTGAACCAGTGTAAATTTTATATTCTCCTTGTGCAGCGTTATGAACTTCGACTGTTGAGCATCTTCTATCTAAGTGTAGATTGGATAATATCATAACTGAGTAATGAAATTTTGTTTGAGAACCGGTAGATTTGACAATAATGTAAGAGTTGGACTCAACTAAATTCATGATTCTACTAGATGAACTGAATGTTCCTATGACATTCTTGTTGTTATCATATGCAGTAGCTGAAAATCCTTCGATAGAATTCACAATTACAACTGAATTTGGTAAAGGAAAATTAATAACATAGTCCTGTCCTGGAGTAATATCTACAGCAATTGACCTTCCATTCATAACTTCATCTTGAGCTGCTAAGGCACATAGAGGTAAGAATACAAGCATTTATATTTTGAATTGAAAATAGCCATTTTTGAATTTGCTACCGGAAAGTAGACTCAATCGTCACTTTTTTATTTAGAAGTAATTGTAAACATAAAATTCCAGAAATACTTGAATTGAATAAAAATGAAGTATTAGTGGCTGACTTGAAAATGAACGCCAAAAATGTTTATTGTTTATTTTTCTTTGGATATTCGTGGATAATCTTTCAAACATCCAAAGAAAACTCGAGATTTTTGAAGAAAAAGAAGTAGATGAAACAAATTTAAATATTGAAATATAAAGAAACGATTTGGATAATTTTGTTTTTTGCACAACAATGAAGAGGAGTTCTTCCATGTTTGCTTAAAAAAGCAATATTGGATAATCATCCAACACAAAATATTATTTTTATGAAAATGATCATAGATTCATGCGTGAATTGTCAGGAATTAACTAATCCAGAAAATGGGAAATGACACTTTTTGTTGTGAATTATGCCATCTTAGGCCGCGAAAAAATCTGAGGAATTGTTTTGATAAGACCAATAGAATAAGGTGCGTTTGATGATTGATTAATAGAAAATTAATGAATGCAGGAACTTGCATTGGCTGTAAGATCACAGAATTTATAAATGGGAAGTCTCATCAATATGATATAAAATCGGTTGAGAATTTTTATTGTTCTTTCAAAAACAAATCGGTTGTTAACCGATGAAATTGATGAATTGTGCTTATCCACAATTGTTATTTAAAATTGTAATTGATCGACCATTGACCATCAAAAAAATTTAATCTGAAAAGGTTATCGTCTTGATTTATAGTTCTATTCAGCAACTTTTATTTAAGCATAATTACTAATTTTGTCTATTTTGAATATGCTTCAAACTTAGTCTAATATCAAATCTCTTCAACGAAATGATTTTATACAATATTATTAACTCCGAATCAAAAAAGAATTGAATAAAAACTGCTTTCTGACATAGACAAAACCCAATTTGCCGGAATTTGAGAGCAGATCAACAAGTATTCAAATTTCAACCTCAAAATAATGCTTGCGGCGCTCTTATTCGTTCGTCAAGTTCCTAGAATCCCTAGGTACCATAGGCAAATCCCACAGTTCAGCGTTGGACGTCCACATAAGTTCGTTCACGACAGATACGAGACATTTCGTCGTTATCCATTACCAAAACCACATCGTCGCCACCAGAGAATCCCAATGCGCCAGCCAGATGAAAACATTTTCATCCCATTCATTGGAGAAGTCCCACTTCCAGAAATTAAGTTACCACCTCTTCCAGAGATCAAGTTACCACCACTCCCACAGATCAGATTACCAGAAATCAAGTTACCAGAGATCAGACTCCCATGGCTCCAATTGCTCCAGTAATTCCACCAATCATCCCACCAGCACCAGCTCCAGCTGGCATTGTTAATGATGACCAGATGAGACGTATGGGCTGGACCAACTATAACCTTGGCGATCTCAACAGCTGCCTTGCCAGATTCGAAATCAACAACCCAGCCAGAATCCGCCACTTCATTTCCCAGTGCTCCCACGAGTCAGGCAATGGCCGCTGGACACGCGAAATCGCTAACGGTTGGGCATATGAAGGCCGCCGCGATCTCGGCAACACACAGCCAGGCGATGGCCCACGTTTCAAGGGCGCTGGCTACCTCCAGTTGACAGGCCGTGCTAACTACCAGAACTTCGCTAACTACATTCAGGACCAGGGTGTCATGCAGGGCGTTGACTACGTCGCTGACCGCTACCCATGGACATGCAGTGGCTACTGGTGGATGCGCAACGGAATGAACGGTCTCTGCGATAGCGGTGCTAGTGTCGAACAGGTCACACGCCGTGTTAACGGAGGCTACAACGACCTTGAAGATCGCCGCGCCAAGTACAACCTCGCTTGCACCATCTTCTAAAAAATTATTCACCATTTTAAAATAAATGAATGGTAGCTTAAGGGTGCACCCGTATGTACGTTTATTTAAGAGGAGGAGGATTACCCTCTCAATTTTGAGGGATTCGTTAGTTTATTTTCTCGATGAATATGCAATAAAATTTGATTTTTACCTTATCAATATACTTCATATAATATACACATGTTCATGTAAAAACTTTTTTGCAAAATCCTCAGGAATTAAGGGATTTTTGAATTTTAAGAATTTTTTTCGAATTTTTTCGAAAAAAAAATATTTTCAGAACAGCCTTAACGGCTAAGATTTAGGAACAATGTTAAGTATCAAAAAGAAAGGAGGTCTGATATAGACAACATATATCGTTGAAGGTTGAAAAAATCTCTAATATTTGAGCCCAAAATTTCAAATTTTAATTTTTTGAAAAAAGAGGCCACCCGTATGTACGTTTATTTGAGAGGAGGAGGATTATATTTTTGAAAGGGTGAAACATTATGAATATGTTAATTATATAATAATATGTATTATTATAAAAAAGAAAAAATAAAGCACGTTAAAATTTTTCTTTCTTGATTTTTTACAAAATCTACTTAGAATTATGCAAAATATGACTAAATAATTATAAATTTCAAGTTAAATTTTAATTTTGATAAATAATTTAAATTTCAAAATATCAAGTTCAGTTCGACTATGTATGTAGTAATTCCTCAATAAAGTGCCAAAACCCTATTAAAATATATGAACATTTTCAACATTTTAATGTTTTTATTTAAAAATTTGTTGGAATATGAGCTTCAAACAATTATTATGTAAATAAAAATAATTAAATATATGTATTTATTCGTATTACAACCGTAGTAAGTTGATTCTTCCTTTCTTCTACTGAGTTTTGAATTTGATTTCGAATTGGAAAGAGATTCAAAGGGAAAATACTAGCGGATAAAAACTACCTCCATGAAAGGGTCATAATGGAGTCAAGTTGTATTTTTTGATATTTTTTGCTTTTCGAGCCTAAATAGGTAGCCAAGATAATGCCTAAAAATAAGGTTCTAAATTCTGAAGTTTACATGATCCTCTCGTGTGCACCCTTAATAATTTTTATTATTAGTTCTTGAAAATAAAGATTTCAATTTTTCAATCTTTGAAGTTCAGATTGTTTCAGAGGAAATTTATTTATTATTTGAGCTAACATTAATGTTTTTTATCACGATGTTAGATGTTGTTTATAATATAAAATTGCGAATTGTTATTTTTGAATAATCAAGCTTTTTTATGTTGGCAAATCAATAGAAATTTAGCTATACTATTGAATGCATGGATTTAGATTTCAGAAAAATAAATCATCATGCCAATCTTTGCTGAATTCCGAAAGTTAGATGTGAAATAGTTATAGTAATTCCTGTGATAGAAAAGATAAGTTTGAGTATTATATTTCTTCATGTTTAAAACATGGTTAACCTCTCATAATGAAAACACAAATCCATTATTTAATAGAGCCTATGGGGCACAGAGTTTTCTTTTAGGCATTAAAAACTATGCTTGCTTGTCAGAAATAAATCAACTAGCTTGGCTGAACTATATCTCACAAAATATATGATACATCTTATTATATTATTTCAAATGATGCTATTTCAAACAAATCTAATGCAACAAGGAGATAATACGAATAAATGCTGCTTTATGATTTTAATGTATTATTCATAGAAAATTGGAAAGATTATTTGCAAGACTGTAAAAGTATTAGTCTCAAATTAAGTGGAGGATGATAATGGGTGCAAAATTATTAAATATTAAGTAATATCATTGGAATTACTTTATTTGATTAAATGGCAAGCAAATGGATACACATGCCTTACTATTTCCTTTAACATTCGCATAAAGCTGCGCAACAAAAAGTTATTTTTGTATTGATGATACTTCGGAATCAGATTGAATGGATAGTTCAATAGAGTTATATAGCTTAGTAGACATAAGCATCTAAATTTTATGCGCATTGGTCTCAAAATCCTAGACAGAACTGATTTTAGAAATGAGAAAAATGACAAAGTATGAATTTTCATCCGATTTTATGGTGCCTTGAATTACTTTCCTCAAAGGCTGTTTAATGTTGTTAATAATTTAAATTATTATGGAAATTTTCACAACAAAATTGTGTTGGCAAAGATTTTTTTTTCGGTGATAAAAATAATTTTTTCTGTACTTGTAATCCAAAGAAATTTCAAGTGACATCCTTCAAAATTATAGATATACGTATCAGGATATAAATCAGCACAAAAAAATTTTTAGCACTTTTCACCGTAAAAAATTTCACCGGTGACATCAATTTTCATTAATGTTCAAGAAGAAAGACAATGGCCGCGACAAGTTCCAGATTCTTATTGCAACAGTAAGAGGCAAACTTGTCAATGTAAAACAAATGCATGAATACGCTGCAAGAGCTCTAATCCGCGCTATAGAATCCGGAAAGAAAGTTGATATCAGATCCAAGGTAATGAGCGAATATAAATTAAAACAACAGCTCGATGCAATGAATCTAATTGCCGAAAATGGTCGCGAACTCTTAAAATGTTATGCTGACCTTTGGACTGATCATCCATCCGAGTCTCTTCAGAACCAGTACATTGAAATCTTTTCATATAGGGAGATGGTTAACATGCCTCAGGTTGTTGAACATTGGAATAATTTTCCAATCAAAGGAGCTTCTCAAGAATTAAAGGAGTACGAGGAGCTTCTTGATGATGATGAAATCGCTGAATATTTGAATGATTTCGCCAGTGTAAACAAAATTAATGATAAAGGTAAAGAATATTTAAGGATCCTTTATCCTTGCGGTAATGTACTTGATATGATTCCAACAGGAACACCAATGTATCCACCACCTCCAAATTAATTTAATTTATATTTGTATTATTTATAAATTCATCAAAATATCTGAATTTCAGCAATTATTTGTACTAAATTTATAGTTTTAATGAAAAATAGTTAAAACGACTTTTATAAAATTTGCCAGATTAACTTTTACCAAATCTTTTTGATGCGACAGCACCACAGAATGAAGATGCGATCCATGCATCTGTATTAAATGTTGTTTGGATGACCGTGCTGAATTCAACATTAGAATACAAGAGATTTCAACTATTATTGCTAGAGTGCACTACGAGATTCCATCCCATATGCATGATAGCTCCGAATTATCCGTTCGTATTTTACACAAGAAGTAATTCTTCAATCAGTAAATATCTATTAATGACAATAAATAATGAACCTTCAGTAGGGGTATATATTGAAAACCATATTTGTATCGGATATGCTTAAAAATATTCTAATTTCAGATGCAAATTTCATCAACCCAATTCCAATTGATATAACATTGTGCTCATATATGAAACAATAAATTTCAAAGTATTATTATATATACAATTGTTTCCCTATAATGCAGATGGACATATTCAACACTTGGCAGGCTCCAAAAAATATATATAGCATATTTTAATCTCATATCATTTGTTCTCAAGGAACACTTGTAGTCATATAGGTACAACATTGTTTAACTGATTTCACTCTCATAATTTGCTTAAATCAAGGATAAATTTGCATTTTAATTGAAAAAATTTTGTTTGCATAAAAGAAGATAATGCATAATTGCAAAAATATATAAATGAATGAACGCTAGCGTCAAAAATTTTTATAACGTAATTTTTCTCTTTCAAAAGTTTTAGATTGTTGTTTTTAATGAGGAACGCTGGTATAAAAATCGATGCTACTCGTGCCAAATATGACACCGGTAAAGCAGCGATTGAACATGCCGGTTTAATTCCAGTTAAGAATGACGAAAAAGCTCCATTTGTTTGGATTGATGGAATTTTAAAGCCCGATGATGCTTTAGACTACGATCCTGGGCAAATATTAGGTAAAATACCAGGTATGGACTACATTTGCTACAAATCTACGCTTTTTAAATGCTTAAACCACATTCGCAATTTCTTTCCTCAGCAGTATGAAGTATTTCCAAGAACTTTTGTTCTGCCAGATGAATTCCCAGAGTTCCAAAGGGAGCACATGCATATCTGTGGAAGGACAGGAGTCGCTCCAACTTGGGTTTTGAAACCAAAAAACGGATGTTGCGGAAATGGCATCCAAATCATTCAATCAGTACATGAAGTCCAAGATAACAAAGTACAAGGTGTCATTCAACAGTATGTTAATCCTTATTTGATCGATGGGAAAAAATTTGATTTCAGATTTTACGTTTTTATTGCTTCATTAAGTCCACTAACAGTATTTCTTTACAACGAAGGCATCGCAAGATTCTGTTCAGAACCTTTTCAAATGCCAAATAAATCCAACAAAGATACAAAGTTTATGCACCTTACGAACACAGCTATTAATGTAGAAAATGGTGCTGTTGATGCCAGCGTTTTCACTAAGAAAGCAACAGATATTTTGCAAATAATCGAAAATCAGCATCATAATCGTGATATAATCTGGGAAAGAATAAGCGAATGCGCACGTGCAGTAATCATTGGTATACTTCCTAAGGTTCTTGCTTCATTGCCGAAAAAGAAAATGGGAACAAATTCATTATTGAAGCCATTTTTGACAAACCGAATATCTCATTTGCATAATCTGCAAGAAGAAGTTGCAGAAGCACAATGTGAAGAGGAAGTTCCTGAACCAGTTGAACCGGAAATTCCAGAAGAAAATCTTCCTTCAGTTTTATCAAATTCATATGATATTCAGCTCAAATCAGAACGAAACTACAAGAAACATATGTTCCAAACATCTGTTAAAGCAGATATTATTAAACATCAGACAAATATGATCTTAATGCCTGGATTTGGAAATAAAAATACAGATTGTCCGCCGCTGATTGTCGGCTCCATCGTAACTTATAGAATTAACCCCACATCTCAATATGGTCCTTTAATTGTTCAGAGAAGATACGATTTTACTACCAACAGGCTTAAGAGTATCAATGCGAAATCACCAAAATCATATTATTTTACAAAAGGAGGCAAAGTTGTTCAAAAAACTCAAAATCTGAAGGCGAAAATCTTTTTGCCGCCAGCGAAACAGAGATACCCATCTCCAACAAAGGATATTGAATCAAAGCCAGAGCCAATTCCTGAGATAAAGCGCGAAGAAAAAATTTATGAACCAGAAAAGATCGAAGTCAAGCAAAATACATTCGAAGAGAGATTCAGTGAAGAGGAAGAAGAAAAGCAGGCTCCAAAAGAAGCAGAAAAGAAGAGCCCTCTTAAACCATTACCTCTAAAGAAGAGATTTAACCACGTTCTAGGTATTGATATCATGCTCGATGCAAATATGAATCCACAGGTCCTGGAATTGAATGATAGACCTTCTTTGAGTGTAACTGTAGATTTCGAAAAAGATTTGAAGGAATCGTTACTCTGCGAGACGTTCGAACATATCTCTCCAAATGGAGAAGTGTTAGGCAACAGCGAAAAGTCTGGTTGGCAACAAATTTTCCCACTTCCAAAATCTCACCCTAATTACACTGTTTGGGCTCCAATTTATGAGAAGGCAAAGAAACCCAATAACAAGGGAGAGATTGAAGGAATTCCTGTTAACATTCGGCCCAGAACAACTGAACAAAAATATTATAATTTCGAAAAGACAAAGGAGAAGAAGAGGTCGAAGAAAAAAGCAAAATAAAATGTTATGTATGTATTATTATTTCAATTGATGTCTATGTTTTTTCGTTATATTATATTTTGAAAATTTTTTTTTGCTTTGTTTGAACATTGTGCCTTTGGATATCATTTATATCTAGAAATTTAAGATCTTTGGACCATTTATCTCTATTTTCAAGTATAATCAAAATAGCATTCAAATTCGCGAATGTTTTGGTTGGTTGATTAATGCATAAAATACGTATTCTATCATGAGAAAGTGTTGGTTTTGTTAGTGGAATAGCTTGTCTTGGCATATTCATTTTTCAATTTTAAAATTAATTTACATTGTCGATCAAAAAATTTTGAATATTGATATTTTGAAGGGTGATTATTATTTTAACAACACTTTTAGAAACGATGCATTTTCTTACAATAATGTAAACTTCTGAAAAGAAGAATATCCATTGAAAAAAGTGCGAAACAATCTCAAAAAGTGACGCTAGACTTGAATGCAATGAGTATACTGGCGCCAAATCACTGCCAGTTGCTCACAGTTCAAGAGATACTTCCTATTATTGAAACTCTTAATGTTAATCAAGAGTTAAAGGATTTATCCGAGACTTTTTTGGAATTTCTTTCATTTAACGTTTCTGTTCTTTTAAAAATGGTCTTAGAAGATACCAAATACGATGCAATCATATATCAGAAGATCATGACAATATTTCAATCGAATGTAAGAGAAATCAGAAAAATTTTGGCAGTTAATGACGAAGTTGCACGAGAAATATATGATTTTGCCAAAGGAGAGTGTTATATTACAGAAACCAAGAAAGTTCTTAGATTTTCTTTGATTTTGAACCAAATTATCATAAAAACGGAATTTGACTTTCTTGGGAAAATACCAAATCCGAAAGTATTCATGACCTCTTTACTCAAGCTTTCCAGATTCATGTCAATGGAGACATTTTTAAATCAACTTTTAACAAATAAAACAATTTTAGAGAATTTCGCTTCATTTTTTGAAACGGCGAAACTCGGACAGGCATTTCATGCATTAATTCACAAGGAAGGTCCCCACACCGAGCAATACCTGACTCTACTCACTGATTTTGCAATTTCGTTATCGCCTGACAGCAAACTCCTGCATTCTATTACAAAGCAGTCGATGATAACTACGCTATTTACGATCGCTCGTACTACTCTCTCAAAGAATTCCGCTGCTTTGGCGTTCGAATACATCGCAATGAACCATTTAAACGATTTTTTCGATGACGATACAGCATTTCTTATTAACAGCCAATTACCCGTTGTCTGTAAGTATATTACGACCCACGCAAAGAATTTTGACTGCGCAACGAGATGCGCTGTTGATCTCTTGATTTCTATCTGTAACAGTATATCTAATTACGTAGAAGAGGAAGAAGAATACTACGAAGACGAAGAATCACCCATAAAAACGTCAATTTCTTGCACTTTTTCAGAAGAATACCGAAAAGTCAAATTTAAAGCAGCTGAAGAGAAAAAAGGACACTTCTTACCTCTGGCCGACAACAGAATGAAATCTAGACCCGATTTTCCGTTTCAAACAACTTCAAATTTGGCAATAAACTCAATTTCGCCATCAAAACTATTCGATCCTAATATCAAAGGCGTGTACAATATAAATAAGCCAACGTTCAATGGATTTACCAAAGAAGCGATGGCGAATTTTAATTTATCTTCTCTGGTTCAAAGTTGTCCAATTTTTTCTGGTTTGGCGCCTATTGACGAATGTGAGGATGAATCGCAAAGCTCTGTTACTTCTCCAACAAATTTCAAAGTTGAAAAAAGAATAACTTCAGATTATGAGCCAATTATAGACGCTGCACAAGCATTATTAAAGTCCTCCTTTGATAAACCTTATATTACATTCCTGCAAGCATCAATTTTGGACCTTCTGAGCGTTATTGACGAAATTGAAGGTTTAATTCCGAAGTTATTCAAAAACTTTAACATAATTGAAGGAGTTGACAAGATGAGAAGTACTAATTGTGAGATATTTGAAGGATATATCCATGAAATATGCAGATTACTTAAGAATTACGACGAATTCACTGAAATTATTGAAAATATTTCACCAGATTGGGAAGAAAAAGAAGCTTTGTATACTGATTTAGAAGAGTTGCCCGAAATGCCTCATCAACCAGGCTCTCTTAATGCTGAATAATCATATTAATTTTTTTATTATGTTGTTTTATGTTTTATTCATGTATTTTTTATTAAAAAGATTTGTTTTTATTTCTGTAACACATATAATCCTTTTTCTCTTTCGATAAGATGTGATAAAAGAAAAACGATCAACATAACATAGAATCAGCCATTCATATATGCATTTAATGGATACCATTAATTTAATTGCTAGCTAATAGCACGAAAAATAATAATTATTGTTATAGACCGAAAATAGATTTTTTCGGTTTTCTCTTCAAATAATTGAAAGAATGATACTATTATAGGTTTATTATATTATATAGCATATAATCATGCTATAGCCGAAAATTATAAGTTTTGAGAAGATTGAATATAACACAAATAAATTTGAATGTAAGTTAAATTGCTTGTTGTTTTTAATATCTATTTAATGTGAAATCCAATATTGCAAAATTCAAATTGAATGATTGAAAGAACAGAAAAAGTCATTCTTTTCAATTTCGAATATGTTTCATTGTATTTATAATTATATGGCAAATAAGATATTCAAACTTGATTTTTGAAGGAAAATTCACAAAATTGAATATATTCAAATAATTTTTATTCAAAAATAAACTAGTTATTTGAGTTTAATACTAATTATCTATTCAAACTACAAAGTTTGTAATTTAAAATATTTTGTGAGATCAGATTGAATTAATTCAAGGTTCTTTTCAATTAATATTCATGACCATATTACGCATTTTCGAACATTCTAAACCAAATATATAAAAATGGGAGACGAATGTTAAATTTGCTAGACATGGGGGAGTTGTCTGCAAAGTTTTAGCTCTTATCTCTAACAAAAAATTAATTTTTAAAAAAATGACCGAATACGTTTCACAGCGAGAAAAAATAAAAGGCAAGATAGAATTTTCTAGACATAAAGAAGTTGTTTACCGAGTTTTAGCTCTTATCTCTAACAAAAAATTAATTTTTAAAAAAATGACCGAATACGTTTCACAGCGAGAAAAAAATAAAAGGCAAGATAGAATTTTCTAGACATAAAGAAGTTGTCTACCAAGTGTCAGCTGTTACTTCTTCTCAATACTGATATAAAATAAAAATCTTTATTATTTATTTAACCTTTATTGTTTCATTAAACTTCATTTATTTTATATTATAGTTTTATTCTTTTAGCTACTTGTAAAATAATCTAATTTTATATCATCATTTTACCGGATTATTCTTCAGTACATCGATTGTGTATCTAAAATAATATCATTATCCTTATTCTGTTTTTTCCAAAATTCTTTTAAATATCTTTTTTGGTTAGATTACTTTATACTTTTTACTTTTATTTTTTAATTTCAAAAAAAAATTTGGTGATTGTTCTATTCTGTTACAATGTGCATTATCATATTCTAATGAATTATTCATTACATACATTTAAAAAAACTTGTTAAAAATGAAATTAAAAAATTATGTTTATTATTACGCTGTGAATGTGTCAACAGCGGTCATGCCTGTATCTGTATCCCATATTTGCCACAACCTTTCTGTATCTGCATTTGTGTATTTCGGTTTCAGCTGATACATTTGATTTGGCGTGTAATTTGTTCCAGTTAATGGATTAATTGGGAGATCTTCATGCGGTGTGTTATTATTGTACTCCCAAATAAAGGCAGGAATAGCCTGAATGCTTTGGCAGCGCTCCAATGTCGGCCAGAATCTCTCAATCTTCCCATTTTGGTAGGGAGAATGAGAGTCTGTATGCCGCCATTGGACGCCCCAAAGATCAAGTAGATCTTGAAAGGCGCCCCTATTTTCTGAACCGTTGTCGGTCCAGAAACAATAAGGGGCGCCAAATTCAATGAAGGCGGAAGCCGCAACGTTCGCTGTCGTCGCTGCCAGCATATCTGGTATTTGTATACACGCTAGGACTTTGCGGCTAAAATCGTTGATTATGCCATAAATATACTGGCCACGAACACCCCTAAAATAATGAACATCTGCGTGCCAGATAAGATTGGGTGAAAGCGCCCAATATCTTACTGCTGTTTCTGGCCCGGCATGCTCTAATCGCGTCTTGGTGAAATGATTTTCTTTGAAGTATCTGCGTACTTCTCTATAAGATACATCAATTTGTTGTAATTTCAAACGTTTCCATTGTTTTGTTTGACCACAGGGAAAGGCCTAGTGGTCATGTATCACAGCAAGAGCTTTGATTTGGTCGTAGGGATTGACCCTACGACCTTTCTTGCCTTTAGGCAATGGGATATTCTGTAAGCTAAATTGATTTTGTAAAAAAGATTTTGAAACATCTAAATATTTGAAATCATTTGATTGAAGGGTTGGGGCGATGGGAACATGGGTGCAAGCTTCTTCCCATGTCATTTTACCTTCTTCAATCTGATTGGAAATACAAATTAGGTAAATTCGATCGACATACCCTTTGTAAGGATTCATTCTAATGAAGTACGTTAACAATCAAAATATTCTATAAGTGTCTAGTATGGAATTCAAAAGAATAAAGAAAATGGTAACGTAAATAAACGTATTATGAAATAATTTATAATTAAAATGAAAAAAAGAAAAAATAATAAGTAAAGTGAGTGGAAATGAAAATTAAAATCAGTGAACAGTTTTATTTTTTTCTCGCTGTGAAACGTATTCGGTCATTTTTTTAAAAATTAATTTTTTGTTAGAGATAAGAGCTAAAACTCGGTAAACAACTTCTTTATGTCTAGAAAATTCTATCTTGCCTTTTATTTTTTTCTCGCTGTGAAACGTATTCGGTCATTTTTTTAAAAATTAATTTTTTGTTAGAGATAAGAGCTAAAACTCGGTAAACAACTTCTTTATGTCTAGAAAATTCTATCTTGCCTTTTATTTTTTTCTCGCTGTGAAACGTATTCGGTCATTTTTTTAAAAATTAATTTTTTGTTAGAGATAAGAGCTAAAACTCGGTAAACAACTTCTTTATGTCTAGAAAATTCTATCTTGCCTTTTATTTTTTCTCGCTGTGAAACGTATTCGGTCATTTTTTTAAAAATTAATTTTTTGTTAGAGATAAGAGCTAAAACTTTGCAGACAACTCCCCCATGTCTAGCAAATTTAACATTCGTCTCCCATTTTTATATATTTGGTTTAGAATGTTCGAAAATGCGTAATATGGTCATGAATATTAATTGAAAAGAACCTTGAATTAATTCAATCTGATCTCACAAAATATTTTAAATTACAAACTTTGTAGTTTGAATAGATAATTAGTATTAAACTCAAATAACTAGTTTATTTTTGAATAAAAATTATTTGAATATATTCAATTTTGTGAATTTTCCTTCAAAAATCAAGTTTGAATATCTTATTTGCCATATAATTATAAATACAATGAAACATATTCGAAATTGAAAAGAATGACTTTTTCTGTTCTTTCAATCATTCAATTTGAATTTTGCAATATTGGATTTCACATTAAATAGATATTAAAAACAACAAGCAATTTAACTTACATTCAAATTTATTTGTGTTATATTCAATCTTCTCAAAACTTATAATTTTCGGCTATAGCATGATTATATGCTATATAATATAATAAACCTATAATAGTATCATTCTTTCAATTATTTGAAGAGAAAACCGAAAAAATCTATTTTCGGTCTATAACAAAAAATAATAATTATTATACGATAACGCTGTAGAAGTTGTATGAAGTATATTGAACAAATCTAACTTTCCTTAGAAAATGAATAACTAAAGGTTTATTCAAATGTATAAAGGAGAATTAAAATTTGGTAGCGCATTTTTTTTATATTCGGACAAAATTGAGCTAAAACAATGGTTGATCATAACGATGTATAACTAATTCAAATAATTGATTTCATCTTAGAGGTGATTGAGTGTACATTTCGCATTTGATTCTCAGCTTAGAATCAAAAAAAAATTGAATATCTATAATATACTAATAGTACCGATTTTAAATTCTAATTCTATTGATCAATTTCGATCAAACAAAATTGATAGAGCTGAATTATAAGAAAATTACATATTATGGATCATATTTATTTTTATATAAAATTTGTTTCAATGATTTTCTGTGCCACTTCAAAATCAGAAACATTCAAATTGATTGACGATAAGATCAAATAATCAATTAAAAATTGAATATAAATCGAATGCTATAATTCTTTAACAATATAACTCTTTTTGAGGAATGATATTTTTCGAAAAAGCGCGTCAAACAATTTGAATACCCTATTGAAAAATATTTTTGGATGATAAAATCTTTATTTAAAAAGTGTTTTGCAATAGTGGCAAGACTATAAAAAATAAAGAAAAAGTGATAATTATAATGTCTTTTTTTTATCATTGAATTTAAATTTACAAGTTTACAAAAAACGAAAAAAAAATCTTGAGGATAAAAAAAAGGAGAAGGCTAAAATAAATGCTTCAGGACATAGCAAAAAACTTTTATGACCTGGCATTTGAAATTAGATACAGATCTCCTTTATCATATAGCTTAAGGTGGGTTCGCGATGTTTTACGTTTTGCCCAAATCGTCATCTTCATGAGTGACTTTTGTAAAGTCAAAGAGATTAATACGCGTACTCCGACATTCATAAGGATCTTAAACAACGCAGGGTTACTCAATTTCTGTTTTGATTTTTCAGTCATTCCTGTTTTCTTAAATTTATTGCAATTAATTTTACTATGCTCGTTCTTCTGGTTCGTTTATTACAATTGCCTGAAGGTCAAGAATGGAAAATATGTATCGAAAAATATACTATTCGTCATTGTTTTCGGATTTGAATTTTTATTTCCAGTATTTCAAATTCAATTCTTTTTCAGATTCACGCAACAGTTTCTCTTGATCCTACAGAAGAATTCAATCCTCAGTATTTTCTCATTTCTTCTTTTAGTTACCAATATCATCATTTGTTTTTGCTTCGATTACATATCCTCAGTCTTTTTTCGACCCAAAGTCATCGTCACTACAGCATTGATTGACAATTTCACGGGAGCCACAGAACTTTTAATTTTCTGGTGTCGTTTTATAGTTATCACTGTCCAATTACTCTTGAGCCAATACAGGGTTTTCATTATTGAGCTCATAATGTACTCTTGGTATCCGATTGTCGTCATAATTATTTTGGAAAAGAGAATTTCAATCGGAGTCCACGTAAATATAATTGGCGCCATACTTAACGACAGCCCTCTGTTTGCGGCTCCTTTCGTTTTACTTGCGAATCTGCATCCACATAATTATTTACCTCCAGGAGCGATTTTAGTCTCGTGTATCCTCATTTACTCGCTCACATTCATCTTGTACAAGATATTCATGCGCAAATACGCTTCCTTGATCTTCAATCAGAAGTACGATCCTCCTTGGTGGCTTCCAATCAAGAATTCCCTTGTTATGAGGACAGCCGCCGAGAATGAAGCCGATGTCGAAGCGTTTGAAGACTACATTGTTCTCAGAATGAAGCAAGATCCAGAAGAAATGATCGAAGTGGTCAGATTTTTAGGAATATTCAGGTCTCAGAGAGAGAAGATCATGTTGATGTTCTCCAAGTACAAGGAGACATCGATATACTACGACTACCAGTTCTATCTGTTCAACAGGATCTTCGAGAGCTACGAAAACAAACCTCCTTCCCACTACATCCAAATTCTCGATGATTTGCAGCGAAACTTCTACATCTGCCTTAGTTTGTTCTGGCAGAAACGCTCCGAGCACAATCTGTTCATCGCATTCATTTTCGGCATCAAGACAGCTCTGATACACGTAGAACTGATCAACTTCATTCAGTACCTCTGTTTCATATTCCAGTACGATCCATACGTCCACCAAGCGTACGCAGAGATTCTTCTGATCGCTGAGGGAGATGCCAGGCAGTCTGTCTTGTACAGGAGATACACTTCGATGCTGAAGGACAACTCCAAGTCTGTTGCTGATCCGATTTTCAAGTCTGTCGCCGCTTACTATCCGATATCTAATGACAGGTACTTGGAAGAGAACACGAACTCTAACTCAGCAACGTCGTCGAAGAGCGATCTTGGCTCTCTGTACTCGTATTCCCATTTGAGATTCCATATCGACGAGAAGGTGATTTACAGAGATGAAGACAGCGACAATTCATTGATGGCAATGTTTGTTCAGAAATGTACGAATGTCAAATCATATTCAGTACTTATTTCGATGATTTTGCTGTTTATGTGGACAATTACATTCATTTTGCTTCAGACGAAAGGAGATGCGTATCTATTTGAGTACATCATGAATGTCAAAGAACGCGTGAAAGAAACAATTGACTTGTCAATCAGATTGACATCAGGAATAATTCTGCAGCCAATTTTGTTGGAAAACAACAAAACAAACTCTCTCAATTGCCAGAAAATGAAAGAAAATGTGTATAACTATTTGCAGAGTTACTCATTCACTTTCAAAGAAGATTACTACTACGTATCCAAAGCAATCTCTCTGATATCGAGTTACATCGCAACAATTCCTGATGACAAATGCCAGGTTTTGAAAAATGACACAAAGATAATCATGGACAGTTTGGAGGGAATCAAACTGAACTACGAGTACTTCCACGGTAACTACACAATATATATGGCAAACGACGACGCTATTGTCATATACTGGAGGTTCTTCGTCTACCTCATCCTGGCGTATTTAGTTGGTCTGACATTAACCGTTTATTTGATGTATCTTTCTGTCAAATTTACACTGACAAATTTGCCACAACCTGTGCAAGAATTTTTGGGATCAAAAGAGAGGTTGTCGATGCTTTTGTTGAAGAAATCTCTCGAGAGCTGGGATTTGTTCAAGTTCTTGTTCCCTGACCCAAGAAAACCAACTCAACCCCCTGTTAAACCAGAAACCCCCCCTGTTTCAACTCGAAGAATAAAAGTGACAAAATATTCAAGTGCTACTAATATCCAGATGAATCAGAGCACAAATTCATCACACCACGTCAACTTGAAAGATGCAAAAGTATCAATCTCTTTCATCGGTGCAGACAATATCTTAAAACCGTCAATGTTTGGTCTGATGTCACCTTTTGTAATTTCATCTACTACTAATTCCAGCGAAGTCAGCTCTGAGAACTCGGAGAGCTGGGACAATTCTAGTTCCAACAGGAATGACGACGCATATGTCATCCCCGAAACTGTTGAGAACTACGACATTGTTTCCAAAATGATTGACCACAATTCGAAAGAATTCAAAACAGTTATTTTGGCGCTTTTGATTATTTACACTTTGCCGTATTTAGTTATGATGTTTTTCAACATTTACGAGCGAGTTGTTTTGGAGTTCCAAAGAACAAACTCCAGGAAATACTTGAACAGAATGGTAGAAAACATCTCCACACTCCACAACCTTCCGCAAGAGATCTACATCGACAACCACACGAATCTGACATTGGTTGTCCTGGAGAGATCAGCGCAACTCAACCAGAAACTGTCTATTTACTCAAGAGGACTGGGTCCTTTCCTGGAGGATTCAGATAAGATTTCTTACACTTCCCAGACAGGTTTGCTGGCTTTCTCGTCATGTACTTTCATTTTCTCTATTCTGACATGTTTCGTCATATACGACATCGACTGGCACGTCACTCTCGGATTCAACAGCTTGTTCCACTTCCCCAGCGGATACTTGGAGGACATAAACAAACCGAGAGACAACGACATCGATTTGAAACTGCCGAAAGAGTCGATCATCTGCCTGATTGTTACAAATGACACATCTGGAGTAATAACAAACATCTCGCAGAACTGCGCTGATCTCATAAATGTCCAGCCGATAGACGTAATTGGTAGGAAATACGATGAAGTGTTTCCTCTCGATTCAGAAAAAAATCGGTTATTTTACATTTCGCAGAAAAAAGTGAAAAAGTACGTTGAAAGCAGGTATTCGACAGGAAAGATTGTCAGGATCGCATTGTACGACATGCAGAGTGACAATTCGCCAAGATCGGTTTTGTCAAACCGTCTGACAAAATGTCTTCCATGTCAAATTGCGAAATTTTTCTGCGAAAAAGGAGCTTTTCACTACAAATTCAAAAACTCATTTATTGTTGTTGTCACATTCGATTCGACAACATTTAATCCAACGATTGATCATGTATTTATGGATTCCTCCAATATTTTGCAGTCTTACAACTCAATCATGCTTCTTCGAGTCAACGGAAGCCAGATTTTCTACTTCTGCTACTCGAGCGACAGAAACATCCCGATTCTGTTCACGAAAGACTTGATCTACCCTCCGTCCAGCAGCAGCTTGAAGGCGCTCGCAACAAGTAACAACCAGAACCAGCAGCAGAGTCCAATAAGAAACGTTGTAATCACGAAGAGCGAATTCACTGCTGATATAATGACTGATTACACTGAACCTTACATCTCGCTGAATTACCAGAAGAAGATTGGCCAGATGAGGGCTGGATTTGCACTGGAGGAGAAGTCGCTTTTGATAATGGATGACTGCATAAAGATTGGAAAGAAAGAACTTTGCCAAAGAAAGGAAATAAGTAGAGGAATAAGAGGAACAGTTGTTAAGTTTGCGGATATTCCTCTCCTCATTCAAGAACTGCGTTAACAATGTAATATATGTATGTATTTTTGTTTATTTTGTATTATTCATAAAATATTAATATTCATATTAGGTTTAAAATTAATTTAGAAAAATTGAACAAATTCTTGAAATAATATCACCTCCTATATTTGGTCCACTTGAGATTCATTGAGAAATCAAAACTTTTTTGACAAGAATTTCTTTATAAAAAAACAATACTTTATATTTTATTTTTTGGAAGAAGATGAATAAGCATAATATGAATAAGAATATGAAACAGAATGCTCTTCCTCCTTTTCTTGCACCGGTTCTTCTTTATTTTGTTCTTGTTTTATTTCCTCTTTCTTTGAAGATTTTGAGTAAGAGTATGAAACAGAGTGTTCTTCTTCTTTCTTTTGTTCAATTTCCTCTTTCTTTGGTTCTTCTTTCTTTAGAGATTTTGATTTTGAGTAAGAGTAAGAAACATAATTTTCTTTTTCTTTATTTTGTTCTGATTCCTCTTTCTTTGGCTCTGTTTTCTTTGGAGAAGAAGATTTTGAGTAAGAATATGAGACAGATTTTTCTTTTTCTTCCTTTGGAATTTCCACAGCTGATTCAGACTTTCCTTTAGTGCTTGAATCAGATGAAGATTCACTTTTATCTTCTTTTTGTTTTTCTTTATTATTTTGTTCATTTTTATCTTGTTTTTTGCTTGAAGTCGAGTAAGATACTTCTTTTTCTGGTAGTTGAGGTTGTTCTGGTTCTTCTTTATCCAGTTGAGGCGGATAAGGAATAAATTTTGATGAGTTTGGAATAACAGTAATTGTTGGTGCTGGTTTTTTATTTTGTGCAATCTTTTGTGCTTCTTTGTTAGCGTCAATCATTCTTCTGTACTGGATGACATCGAATGTTGTGATGTTCTTCCTGATCAAGCAACTGTGCAATCCCAGCAACAAAGTTATGAAATATTCAATTCCGAGGAGCATAAAAAGGAGAAGCCCATGGAAAACATACCAAACAGCAGCGGGAATCTTTTTCTTAGCCCCATAAAATGCTTCGGCATTAGCAAGCATTGATCTGGCGGAGTTTTCTTGTTTCATTCCCATTCCCATGACGACATATATGGATAAGGCCGATTCTATCATGGAAGCAAGGAGAAGGAAGATAATTCCGAATAGGAAATAGTTGTAGTTGTCGTTTGTGACGCAATTATTTAAGAAAAAGCAGTGATGATCAAAATCTAGCCTGCAAAGATTGCATGAGCGACAATGTTTTGCTCCTTGTATGACAGTTCGCTTACACCATCTACACCTGATGGCGTTATCTTTTGTATCATCTGGTAAGACTGAAGATCTATGTTTTTCAAGCGCGGCGCGAATTAATAAGCAATTGAATATGAGCCAAAGAACACAAAATATTGGTGTGCAGATTGCTCTTTCTGTTGGATAAAGAGATGGAAAAATAAATAAGAAATAACCTGCAATCATAAGGAAAAATCCAACCCATGACAATATTTGCTCTCCATGTAATGGTTTTGTAAATCCATTTCTAGTATTAATCAGTGGCGCTGGCGGATCTTCATCACCATTCATAAAATCTTTGCAAATTCAACAATTTCAATTTTCTTGAAATCCAACTATCTGAAACAAGGTTAAACATGATGAAATTTGTCAAAAATTTTTGCATATCAATTTTGATAATCCTCCTTTTTGTAAATCGATTTTTGAAAGGTTTTCCGATAAATGGAATAGAATAGCAATGAATTTATAATGATGACCAAGCAAGTCGAGATAATAGTTACATGTAAAGTTTGGTGTACTACCTGTTGCAATAACAACAAAAGAACAAAAATAACAAAAATTAATTTGTTATTAAAATTGATAAAAACAAAAAAAAAAATAACATTTTACACATTACAAGAAATCTATAAGAATTATTGTAGAGGGTTAACGCCTTTTCTGACGCAAATGATATTAGATTTGTGGATGTTCATTGCCATCACAGGTTTAAGAGACATGTAAGTATTTCTTCTCTTCTCCTTAAGTGGAGAATTGAGTGCAGGAAGGTTAGATCCTTCTTGTTGCGGCTTCTGGATCTTTACCTGGCTTAGAGTAGTCAGTTTTAGATTGGATGCAGTACCAATGCTGACTCTGGACTTCTGTACTTGTGGATTGCTAACGTTTGTCTTCAAAATTTTGTAAATTGTTGTCGCAGCTGTGAAACGTCCAGCCATTAAATCGTCTTGGAGAGTAGTGATATCTGTACCTGTTTCAGCAACGCATTTAACAATAATTTGGTCAATAGTAAATTGAGATTCGCCGGAATGATGTAGAGTTATTTTTTGGCCACTAAGCCATGGATGTTCTGCAATCTGTTCTAATGACCAGCGAGATTTTGGATCTTTTACTAATATCTTGGATAAAAGATCTCTAAGATCAGGAGACAAATAAGAAGGGAATGTAACAGCGCCATGGACGATATTCGAACAGATTTCGGGTATGTCTTCGGCATCAAACGGTCTTATACCAGCTGTGATGAAATATAAAAAGACGCCGGCACTCCAGATATCTGATTTCTCGGTTACGACATCGTGAAGGATTACTTCAGGTGCCATATATGCTGGTGAACCAACTGGTGGTAACTTTGTCGGTTTATTTGGATCGTAATAGGTACTAACACCAAAATCAACGATTTTGATGTTAAAATATCGATCTAGAAGTATATTGTCAGCCTTTATATCGCGATGAAGAATATGGTGAACACTATGGAGATACGATAAAGCAGAAATTAATTGCGCAAAGTATCTTTTTGCATGATTTTCTGTGACAGGTTTTGTTGGGTTGATAAAGCTTTCGAATGATCCATTTTCAGCGAGGTCAATAACGGCATAATAATTATTTTCATCGCTGAAAACATCATAAAGTGCTGAAATATACGGATTTTCGATACTTCTGAGAATTTCTGCTTCATGTTCAAAGATTTGACGTTGATTTGATGTTGTCATTGTTGTTTTTGGATATCCTTTGATTGCAACAGGCAAACCAAGGATTTTGTGCTTTGCATAGAATACTTCTGATGATGCTCCTTTACCAATAGAGTAGCATATTTCATAAGTGTCTAGTAATGAGTGTTCTTCATTCATTGTTAATAAAAAAAGGTATTCAAATAATTTTTCTCATAAAATGATGCCAAATGCTATAGTCAGTGTTATGCTATATAATCTTTAGAAAAATTGAATAGCAGATAAAATATCTCCACAAAAATTGCATAGCATCTGCTATTTGACCAGAATTCCAAAAATGTTTGTTATACATTGTATATCATTTTTAACTGATTTTTATTCATCTTCGTTACTGAATTATCGTTATATCAATGGTCAAAAATCTCATTGAACTTTGATGAGCAATTCTATTTGATAGCATATCAAGCAAAACTCCTCTAAATCAATTATTACACAAAATTTAAGTAAATGGATGATTTTTTTAGAAAAAAAAAATCAATTTTCTTGGTCTAAGTCTGTATAGCTTACATACTCACAGAAAGTTGAGAAAATCTCACTAATGGCAATTGAATTGCATTTTAAGTTATTGATAACAATAAATCCTTTATTATAAATTCGAAGATAGAAATACGTAAATAGAACGAGAATTATTGTCAAATAAAACTATTTTAATAGAAATATTGCTTTTTGCTTTTTTTTTCAAAAACTTAGGCCTGAGAATCGATGAGTGGAGTATCATCGATCTTGTCCTCCTTAACAGCTGCCTGAACGACTGCATCTGGGTACTTGAAGCAAGGGATGCGAAGGATCTTGTTGTAGAGGAGCATACCAGTGAACAAGAGGCAGAAACCAGAGAACTGCATCCAGCTCCATGGTGTAAGTTCTTCACCAAGTGTTGGGTGCTTGTGGCCGACTTCTCTGCCAGAGTATGAGTAGAAGATGATAACCTGAACTACCCAAATGCACAATGTACGGAGGCCTTCGAGAATTGTTCTTACAACGGCACTTGTGATGTTTGTAACAAACATGCCAGTGACGTTGTACAAGAGGATGACGATAACGTAGAAGATAACGAAAACAAGGATCATCTTGTTGTTAGCGATCATCTTGAATGTATCGATAGTATCTTCGTGGATACCGTTGCCTTCTGGAGAGTGAATCAAAGATGTGATTGGAAGGAAGACGGCGCAGGTGATGATTGTGCCCCACATACCTTCAAGACCGACGATAAGAACTGGAGAGGCTGTCATATCGTGGAGAAGGAAGTCTTCAACGACAATCTGTGAGGCTTGGATGATTTGAGAGCCAACTGTAAGAGCAATAGCCATGATGACTTGGCCTGTTGTAACACCAGCCTTGCCAACACCTGTGGAGCAAACAGCAGCAACACCGACAACTGTTAAAGCAATGCAGATTAATAAAACGGACCACCACATGTAGGCGTATGTTGGGCGCTTGAGAATGAACTGGCAGAAGATTGAGGAGAAGAGAACCATAGAACCACGAAGCATTTGCCAGACTGAAGCGTTGATGTAAAGAAGACCGATATTCATAAGAGATGTTGCAAGAAGATCACAGCATGCTGGACCTGCGACGTAAAAATACATTTTCCAATCACTGCCTTTGTTTGTTGTTTCATCTGTTTCGCCATTTGTAACTAAAGATTGTGTTTCTTCCTGTTTCTTTCCTCTGTTCAAGCAGCGCTGAACTTCATAAACAACAAGTGCTAAACACATACCAACGAACATTGAGTTTGTTTGGAACCATGGTTTGGAGAATTTATGCGGATTTTCGTAAATATCGCGTCCGACTGCTCTTTGTTCGAAGAGAAGCTTCTGTGTGACGACTGTGGCTGTGCCGAAAATCAGCATGCCAGGAATAGCAATATTGCGTTGCCAAGCTGGAACAGAGGCCATTTGACACTTTTATTTCACTTCAATCTTCAACCTCCTTTCTCAATTTTTTATCGTTTCTTGAATTCTCCAATAGTAATGCGTTTCCAAAATTGTGGATTTTGGTATGATTTTGTGTGGTGTTTATGAATATTCTGAAGATTCTTGAATTTACTTGATTGGAGTGAATGTGAAATTCGTAAAAATGTAGAATCTGATGTCATTGTTGTTATCAATTGCTTAAAGTCTTGTATCTGACTTTGTTCTATATCAATTTTAACATGATTGAAAGTAAATTAAAATTGAATATTAAAATTATTTTAGAATAAGCTTTTTATAATGAAATAAACTGTATACCATAATGCATAATAACAAAATGTTGAATGATGAACACTTGAATTCATATTCTTCAATCAAAAAATAATGATTTTTAAAATAAATTTTTAGATTTTGGATTTAAAATCGAATTTTTCGAATTGATAGTAGAAATGGAATATAAATCCATCTTATCAATTATCATAATTTTTTTCAAAAAATTATTATCAAAAAAATTAACTTTTCATATTTATAAAAATCAACAACAAAAACAAAAAAATTAAAATAGATAAACATTTATATTTTTTGAAATAATAAGAATACAAATAAAATTACCTCTAAATTACTGATTATTTTTAATTTTGAAATATTATTTCTAAGAATTTATCAATCATGAGCAATAATATAAACAATCTTACACATAAGCAATCTCGTATTCATTAATTTTTAATAATTTATTGATCAATAATTTTCAAATTAATCAAGACTAAAAAATGTAAAATAATAAAACCAAACAAAAAAATATTTCCAATAAATTCATTACAGGGTAAATTAAAAAAAAATCAATGAAAGTTATTTTATATAAAAAAAAATTGGAGTAAAAAATTTAGAAGAAGCTACCAAATGAAGCGTACTTCATTGGTCTGTATTTGTCTGGGAATGGAAGTGCGTTGAACTTCTTGTAGTCCTTTCCTAGGATCTTTCCGTCCTCTCCGTAGTTCAGAGCGAGGACTGCTCCCTCGTTACCCATCTGTCCGATGTAGTTTGGAGCAGAGAAAACTGTGACGCACTTTCCATCGTGCATTTCGCGATATCCCTCCTGCATAACTTGGTGGGAGCGGATTACTAACTCCAGACCCCAGCGCTTGCAGAATTTGGCTGTAATATCTGGTCCGAATGTCCTGGTGAGGCCTCTTGGTGATGGAGCGAGGCCGTTGTTGTCCATTGGATCTGACCAGAGGATATCGTTGATTGGACCATTCTCTGGTGGCTGGCAGAATCTGTTCAGCTTCTGTACGTCTTCAAGTGTGACGTTGTCGTCTGTAACAATACCACCGTGGACGATAAGCGTATTTCCGTTGATTAAGTGGCCAAGAGGTAAGGAATTGAACATCTTTGTGCATTCATTGTATGTATCTCTGTTGTATTTGTCGGTGCATTCGCCTTCGAAGCCGTATAGATGGTTCATGTTGATTGTTTCGTGATTTCCTCTGTTGAGGTAGATGGATTCTGGGTCGGAGATCTTGAGAGCCATGAGAAGTGTCAAGATTTCAACACCCTGTGAGCCACGATCGACGTAATCGCCGTTGAATAAGTATGGGGTTTCTTTTGTTGGCCAGCCAAACTTTTCAAAGAGATTGACGACATCTTGGAACTGGCCGTGGGTATCTCCGACAACATGGAATTTGCCAGCGTGCTTGAGTTCGACGATATTTGACATTTTGTTGTTCAGTTCTTCGATTGCGTGGACAAGGGCCTTGAAGACTTCTCTGTGAAGGCGGACGTCCTTACGTAAGTTATCAAGTGTAGATTTCAAAAATTCTTTGTTAAATTCGGGGATTTCAACTGGTTCTGGCGGTGGAGCTTGCTCGATTTGTTGGATTGAATCGCCTTCTTGGACAGCCATAGCTTGTAAAAGCTGATTTCTCTTAAATTCAGAACGAAGTTTTTCTGCATCTTGCCTAAATTTCTTTTCTGAAGGCATTATCTTGCAAAGTTGCACCATATCATTGTAAGCGCCAATGAAATCAAGCTCAAGAAGCTTTGCATTAGCACGTCTGTAGTAAGCTTTAGCGTTTGAAGGATCAAGATTGATTGCTTCTGTAGCATGATTAATAGCATCTGTAGCGCGCTCAAGGAGACCTTCACAAATGCAAAGATTTAAGCAAATTGAAATTTTAAGTTGTTTTTCTTCTTCTGGGCAGGATTCAAGTGCTTTTGTGTAAAGATCATGAGCTTCGAAATATTTCTTCTGGCGAAATGCTGTATTACCCTCCTCTTTAAGTTCAGCAGAACTGACCATTTGAGTAAAGAAAAAAATTTTTTTTTCTTCTCAAAGAATTTTTAGTTTGGAAAATTTGATCGCCTCTGTTAGTTCACTGACATTGATTTGGCAAAATTATTCCCTACAAGATTCTCTATCAATACTGCACCACATGTATTTAAAAATCATGGAATTCTCCAAAAAAAAAACTTACAAATGTTTCATATCTCATTAATCTCATACATATATTTAGCAAGCACCATATGATAAAAATTTGAAGTTTGATGCCGGGAAGAACATCAGTTGATTAGGATTTAAGAAAAATATTTCGACTTTTAAAGAATAAATTTTATTTCATATATAAAATATATCAATGGTGAAAAATAAATTTCATGATATAATAAATTTAAGACCTAGCGAGGATGATTAAGTATGAAATTGCTAGGATGATGAATGCGAATGTGAGTGCATCGACTCGTAAAATAAGCCTCCTGAGGTCGAATGACTCGTGTTCAATGAGTAACTCTTCTTCTTCATCTTCCTCTTCATTTTCATCGTCTGATTTGCTTGCCTCAACTATTGCTGATTCTGGCGCCTCTTCCTCCTCAGCAATTTGTACATCTCTTGTAACTGCAACTACATCTTCCTCTTCCTCGTTAAGTTCCTTCTCTTCTAATTTCAATTGTAATTCCTTGTTCTTATCAGCGAGTTCGTCAACCTTCTGCATCAGAAGTTGTACGTTCTGTTGGAGAACAATGTATTCTGTTTCTCTATGTTCGATTACTCTGTGCTCCAAAACTTCAAGTCTGCTGATAATTACTTGTATCTGTTCTGTGAATGTATTGTTCATTACTATTATTTGTGTATTCTGTTCTCTATAAAGTGTTTCTAATTGAATAATTCTCTGTTCAATTTGAATGATTGTTTCCTTGTCGACTTTGCTCTTGAGAATGACTAAGATGGCATTCAACTTCTCATTGATTCTGTCAAGATCTTGTGGTGCCTCTGACAACTTAGCCTCTTGTGTGTCATTGAATTTGTCTGCAAGATCTTGGACTCTGTCGGCTAACTGTTTGACTGCATCATCGAGTTTACTGTCTCTGTCATACTGAGCATCGTCTCTGTTCTTCAGTTCATTAACCTGTTGTTTGATATTTTCAATTTCTTCATCTTGTTTGTTATCTTTGTTGTCATTGTTATTAATCTGATCTTGGATGGCCTTGAGTAAGTTCTTTAGATCTTCTATGTCATTCATATTCTTATCATCGCCAGCCTTGATCTTGTTATCAATGTCATCAAATCTGTCATTAAGTGACTGAACAAGTGCTTTGTTCTTTGCAGCACGCTGTTCATCTTCTTGCTTCTTTTGTTCTGTATCTTTGATGTGGTCCATAATTGCTTTAATGTCTTCTTCTTGCTTATTGTCCTTATTGTCAAGTCTTACAACAAGGGCCTTAAGAACATCATCATCCGCTTTAGTATTTATGAGGTTGTTGAGAGCTATAAGAGCATCGTTAACACCTTGGAGATCTTGTGCACCTTGTGTGACTTTGGCAACCTCATTATTTCTTATCTGATCTTTAAGTTCTTTAAGTTTATCTTCGAGATCGTTGAGAGTATCTTCATTGGCAGTAACCTTGTCATCAAGAAGTGCATCTTTATCGTAAAGTTGCCTAAGTTTATCAGAAAGATCCATAATGTATTCATCTTGTTTGTTATCGCGAGCATCATTTTAAGCGGTAACATTATTCAATTCATTAACTTTCTTTTGAAGTTCCTTGAGAGCATCGTTCAACTCAGAAAGTGTTGGAGCATTCTCATCTTCTGGTGTGGCAGCGACAAGGTCGATGTCACGTGCTTGGACTTCACCAACACCCTCTTCTTCTGGATGCATCTCATTTTGCAATTCATTGATCTTGTCTTGCAATTCGTTAAGCTTGTCTTGAAGGGCTTGATACTCGTTCAACTTGTCCTTGAGCTCGTTGAGATCGTCATCTTGCTTGTTGTCCTTGTCCTCGTTGGCGTTCTGGCGATCGTTGAGAGCATCGAGTTGCTCCTTGAGTGCCTTGAGGTCTTTCTCGTTCTTGTCGTCGCCGTCTTGGATCTTGTTGTCGAGATCGTTGAACTTGTCGTTCAAGTTCTGGACAAGTGCCTTGTTCTTGGCAGCACGCTGCTCGTCTTCCTCCTTCTTTCTGTCTTCCATCTCTTGGATCTTGTCGGCGAGTGCCTTGAGATCCTCATCTTGCTTGTTGTCCTTGTTGTCGTTGCGGTTCAACCTGTCTTCGAGGGCCTTGAGAGCATCGTCGTCGGCCTTCTCCTTGATGAGGTTGTTGAGAGCATTGAGAGCGTCGTTGACACCCTGGAGATCTTCGGCACCTTGGGTAGCCTTGGCTTCCTCGGCGTCTCTGATCTTGTCCTTGAGATCCTGGAGTCTGTCGGCGAGGGACTTGATTGCTTCTTCGTTGGCCTTGTCCTTCTCGTCCTGAGCGGCATCCTTGTCCTTGAGTTCTTGGATGGCGCCTTCAAGGTTCTTGTCCTTCTCGTCCTGAGCGGCATCCTTGTCCTTGAGTTCTTGGATGGCGCCTTCAAGGTTCTTGTCCTTCTCGTCCTGAGCGGCATCCTTGTCCTTGAGTTCTTGGATGGCGCCTTCAAGGTTCTTGTCCTTCTCGTCCTGAGCGGCATCCTTGTCTTGGAGACCCTTGACCTTGTCTGCAAGATCCATGATGTACTCGTCTTGCTTGTTGTCGCGGTTGTCTGTGTTGTCGGCCTTGTCGTTAAGCTCCTTGACCTTGTCTTCGAGAGCCTTAAGAGCATCGTTGACGTTCTTGAGGTCTTCGGCGCCTTGGGCTGCATTAGCCTCATCGACAGCCTTGATCTTGTCATCAAGAGAGTTCAACTTGTCCTTGAGCTCGTTGAGATCGTCATCTTGCTTGTTGTCCTTGTCCTCGTTGGCGTTCTGGCGATCGTTGAGAGCATCGAGTTGCTCCTTGAGTGCCTTGAGGTCTTTCTCGTTCTTGTCGTCGCCGTCTTGGATCTTGTTGTCGAGATCGTTGAACTTGTCGTTCAAGTTCTGGACAAGTGCCTTGTTCTTGGCAGCACGCTGCTCGTCTTCCTCCTTCTTTCTGTCTTCCATCTCTTGGATCTTGTCGGCGAGTGCCTTGAGATCCTCATCTTGCTTGTTGTCCTTGTTGTCGTTGTTGTTCAACCTGTCTTCGAGGGCCTTGAGAGCATCGTCGTCGGCCTTCTCCTTGATGAGGTTGTTGAGAGCATTGAGAGCGTCGTTGACACCCTGGAGATCTTCGGCACCTTGGGTAGCCTTGGCTTCCTCGGCGTCTCTGATCTTGTCCTTGAGATCCTGGAGTCTGTCGGCGAGGGACTTGATTGCTTCTTCGTTGGCCTTGTCCTTCTCGTCCTGAGCGGCATCCTTGTCCTTGAGTTCTTGGATGGCGCCTTCAAGGTTCTTGTCCTTCTCGTCCTGAGCGGCATCCTTGTCCTTGAGTTCTTGGATGGCGCCTTCAAGGTTCTTGTCCTTCTCGTCCTGAGCGGCATCCTTGTCTTGGAGACCCTTGACCTTATCTTCTAATGCTTGAAGAGCATCGTTAACGTTCTTAAGGTCTTCATCTTGCTTGTTATCTTTGTTATCGTTATCTTCAGCCTTAGCTGCAAGATCGTTGAGCTTCTCTTGAAGTTCCTTGAGAGCATCGTTCAACTCAGAAAGTGTTGGAGCATTCTCATCTTCTGGTGTGGCAGCGACAAGGTCGATGTCACGTGCTTGGACTTCACCAACACCCTCTTCTTCTGGATGCATCTCATTTTGCAATTCATTGATCTTGTCTTGCAATTCGTTAAGCTTGTCTTGAAGGGCTTGATACTCGTTCAACTTGTCCTTGAGCTCGTTGAGATCGTCATCTTGCTTGTTGTCCTTGTCCTCGTTGGCGTTCTGGCGATCGTTGAGAGCATCGAGTTGCTCCTTGAGTGCCTTGAGGTCTTTCTCGTTCTTGTCGTCGCCGTCTTGGATCTTGTTGTCGAGATCGTTGAACTTGTCGTTCAAGTTCTGGACAAGTGCCTTGTTCTTGGCAGCACGCTGCTCGTCTTCCTCCTTCTTTCTGTCTTCCATCTCTTGGATCTTGTCGGCGAGTGCCTTGAGATCCTCATCTTGCTTGTTGTCCTTGTTGTTTGTTGTTCAACCTGTCTTCGAGGGCCTTGAGAGCATCGTCGTCGGCCTTCTCCTTGATGAGGTTGTTGAGAGCATTGAGAGCGTCGTTGACACCCTGGAGATCTTCGGCACCTTGGGTAGCCTTGGCTTCCTCGGCGTCTCTGATCTTGTCCTTGAGATCCTGGAGTCTGTCGGCGAGGGACTTGATTGCTTCTTCGTTGGCCTTGTCCTTCTCGTCCTGAGCGGCATCCTTGTCCTTGAGTTCTTGGATGGCGCCTTCAAGGTTCTTGTCCTTCTCGTCCTGAGCGGCATCCTTGTCCTTGAGTTCTTGGATGGCGCCTTCAAGGTTCTTGTCCTTCTCGTCCTGAGCGGCATCCTTGTCTTGGAGACCCTTGACCTTGTCTGCAAGATCCATGATGTACTCGTCTTGCTTGTTGTCGCGGTTGTCTGTGTTGTCGGCCTTGTCGTTAAGCTCCTTGACCTTGTCTTCGAGAGCCTTAAGAGCATCGTTGACGTTCTTGAGGTCTTCGGCGCCTTGGGCTGCATTAGCCTCATCGACAGCCTTGATCTTGTCATCAAGAGAGTTCAACTTGTCCTTGAGCTCGTTGAGATCGTCATCTTGCTTGTTGTCCTTGTCCTCGTTGGCGTTCTGGCGATCGTTGAGAGCATCGAGTTGCTCCTTGAGTGCCTTGAGGTCTTTCTCGTTCTTGTCGTCGCCGTCTTGGATCTTGTTGTCGAGATCGTTGAACTTGTCGTTCAAGTTCTGGACAAGTGCCTTGTTCTTGGCAGCACGCTGCTCGTCTTCCTCCTTCTTTCTGTCTTCCATCTCTTGGATCTTGTCGGCGAGTGCCTTGAGATCCTCATCTTGCTTGTTGTCCTTGTTGTCGTTGTTGTTCAACCTGTCTTCGAGGGCCTTGAGAGCATCGTCGTCGGCCTTCTCCTTGATGAGGTTGTTGAGAGCATTGAGAGCGTCGTTGACACCCTGGAGATCTTCGGCACCTTGGGTAGCCTTGGCTTCCTCGGCGTCTCTGATCTTGTCCTTGAGATCCTGGAGTCTGTCGGCGAGGGACTTGATTGCTTCTTCGTTGGCCTTGTCCTTCTCGTCCTGAGCGGCATCCTTGTCCTTGAGTTCTTGGATGGCGCCTTCAAGGTTCTTGTCCTTCTCGTCCTGAGCGGCATCCTTGTCTTGGAGACCCTTGACCTTGTCTGCAAGATCCATGATGTACTCGTCTTGCTTGTTGTCGCGGTTGTCTGTGTTGTCGGCCTTGTCGTTAAGCTCCTTGACCTTGTCTTCGAGAGCCTTAAGAGCATCGTTGACGTTCTTGAGGTCTTCGGCGCCTTGGGCTGCATTAGCCTCATCGACAGCCTTGATCTTGTCATCAAGAGAGTTCAACTTGTCCTTGAGCTCGTTGAGATCGTCATCTTGCTTGTTGTCCTTGTCCTCGTTGGCGTTCTGGCGATCGTTGAGAGCATCGAGTTGCTCCTTGAGTGCCTTGAGGTCTTTCTCGTTCTTGTCGTCGCCGTCTTGGATCTTGTTGTCGAGATCGTTGAACTTGTCGTTCAAGTTCTGGACAAGTGCCTTGTTCTTGGCAGCACGCTGCTCGTCTTCCTCCTTCTTTCTGTCTTCCATCTCTTGGATCTTGTCGGCGAGTGCCTTGAGATCCTCATCTTGCTTGTTGTCCTTGTTGTCGTTGTTGTTCAACCTGTCTTCGAGGGCCTTGAGAGCATCGTCGTCGGCCTTCTCCTTGATGAGGTTGTTGAGAGCATTGAGAGCGTCGTTGACACCCTGGAGATCTTCGGCACCTTGGGTAGCCTTGGCTTCCTCGGCGTCTCTGATCTTGTCCTTGAGATCCTGGAGTCTGTCGGCGAGGGACTTGATTGCTTCTTCGTTGGCCTTGTCCTTCTCGTCCTGAGCGGCATCCTTGTCCTTGAGTTCTTGGATGGCGCCTTCAAGGTTCTTGTCCTTCTCGTCCTGAGCGGCATCCTTGTCTTGGAGACCCTTGACCTTGTCTGCAAGATCCATGATGTACTCGTCTTGCTTGTTGTCGCGGTTGTCTGTGTTGTCGGCCTTGTCGTTAAGCTCCTTGACCTTGTCTTCGAGAGCCTTAAGAGCATCGTTGACGTTCTTGAGGTCTTCGGCGCCTTGGGCTGCATTAGCCTCATCGACAGCCTTGATCTTGTCATCAAGAGAGTTCAACTTGTCCTTGAGCTCGTTGAGATCGTCATCTTGCTTGTTGTCCTTGTCCTCGTTGGCGTTCTGGCGATCGTTGAGAGCATCGAGTTGCTCCTTGAGTGCCTTGAGGTCTTTCTCGTTCTTGTCGTCGCCGTCTTGGATCTTGTTGTCGAGATCGTTGAACTTGTCGTTCAAGTTCTGGACAAGTGCCTTGTTCTTGGCAGCACGCTGCTCGTCTTCCTCCTTCTTTCTGTCTTCCATCTCTTGGATCTTGTCGGCGAGTGCCTTGAGATCCTCATCTTGCTTGTTGTCCTTGTTGTCGTTGTTGTTCAACCTGTCTTCGAGGGCCTTGAGAGCATCGTCGTCG